ATATATATATATATATATATATATATATATATAACCAATCCATTTGTTTAAGAAAAATTCAATTTAGGAGTGGAATTGGAAGGCGCAGAAATTTGTTGTGATTAATCATATCGTGGTCCTGATCTTCAAGTTGTTGGTATAATTAACTAAACTCTTCCAAAAACTAGAAAGACTTGAATTTACTGAGAGTGTCCATTTTATGACTCTTTTTTTTGTAATCTTAGCATAGGATGTCTCTGTCGTCTTGTGATGAAGAGGAATCAAGAAAGTTCTATTATCATTCATTTCTGTAACTTTGAGCCTCTGATATGTCTTCTTAGTTATTTGTTAAACTCAATTAAGTAGAATGTCACACGCACTTATAACCAGACACATATACACCTTAACACATACCGAACTTTATTGCATGATTTTACTCTTCGTATTTCTCTACAAAGACTTATTTTATTCAGCTAACACCCCCACCTCGAACAGTGAAGAGAGAAGCTGATTCACACAAAAACGTAACACCGTACTATTAGAGTATCACTGATGCAGTTTAACCATTGACAATAGTTCCACCTGAAAATGCACATGCAATGTTAATTAGTAAGTCAACCAGAGTGTAGTAGTATATAAAGTACTATATAACCATAAGCAGTGTTACCATTGGGGTGAAGGACTTGTCCAGTTATGTAAGAGGAGCACGAGTTGGAAGCAAGAAAAACAAAAGATGGTGCAACCTCAATAGGCTGACCAGCTCTCTTCATTGGAACTTCACCTCCAAATTCTGCAGTTTCTTCCTCCTTGAAAGATGCCGGTATCAGTGGAGTCCAAATGGGTCCTGGAGCCACCCCATTTACCCGAATTCCCTTGCTAACCAGCTGAAGGGACAGTCCCCTCGTAAAGGCCACAATTGCTCCCTTGGTTGAAGTGTAATCCAGTAGTTTCGAATTCCCCTTGTATGCATTCACTGATGTCGTGTTGATTATGCTGCTTCCTTCCTTCATGTGCTTCAAAGCATGCCTAAATAAAACAAAAACACATCATTTCATGTTTTCTATCACATCATTTATCATTCATGATTCACGATTTTACCTGGCCATGAAGAAATAGGCAAAGATATTGGTTCGAAAGACCCTCTCAAGCCTAGGCTCATCTATATCCTCCACAGTTCCACACTCGTATTGCTCAGCTGCATTGTTGACCAGAATGTCAATACGACCAAAAGCACTCACCACCTCGTCAACCACCCTCTTGCAATTCTCATCATAACCCAAATCAGTCGGTATGGCAATTGGATCCTTGGCATCCGCAGTCTTGGCCCTCTTTATCATCTCCAGGGTCTCCTTTGCATCCTTGTCCTCACTCCCCTTCACATACGTGAAGGCCACAGTAGCACCTTCTAACGAAAACAAGTTACTCACAGCTCGTCCTATCCCAGAATCACCACCAGTAATTAATGCAATCTTCCCCTGAAAAAGGAAATCCAATTTTCTACACAGAATGAATAGCAGTGACACCAAACAAACAAAACGCAACGTGCATGCATGCGTGCACCATCTTTTCTAAACTAAAAAATTAACAGGAAACAATAAGGTTTTGCTGTGTGTCTACTTGGAGTTTATTGGAAGGCTTGTAGTCAGGGCTGGTGAATTGGGGTGGTGGAGTCATAAGATGTTCCTTGCCGGGCTGTGTTTTTTGCTGCTGAGGGGGGAATTTCTGTTGACCGGAAGCCATTGTTGGAAAGAAGTTTTGGAAGAAAGTTGATGATAATGAAAGATGGATGAATATATATAAAGGATTGGATTTGAAGGTGGGAAGAGGTGAGGATGATGTGTTGATCAAAAGGGGTTTGAACATGCAACGTGGTGAAGAGTGGCACAAGGAGGTGTTCACGTGTCCTTTTATTCGCATGCACTGGACCCGTCTGAGGAAACGGACATTCTCGACCAACACACTACGTCTTCTTTTATGTTTTTAATCCACTTTTTTTTTCTTTCATATTATTTGATATATGTTTTTACATATTTAAAGCAACTTTTCATTTCTTTTTCTAATAATTTTACTAACAAAATTGCTTTAAAAGGAACTATACTAAATGTATGATGGGTTTAATTAAATTATAATTTAATAGATTTCATGATATTAATATATATTTCACTATCACTTACCAATTTAGGATTTATTTGCGTTTCGTTCGAGAGCTTTCGACATAGAATTTATTGAGACAAATTTATTTAGTTGGAAAGGAAAATTCTAATTTCTAGACAAATTAATCTCATACCCTATTCTAACAATATAATAATATATATATTAGTTTATATAAAAATATGAAAAAAATTAGAATTGGAATATTAATATATTGAATTGTTAAGTGATTGTATTTTTTTGAAAAATAATTGATGGACATTCAAAATATAAATTTGATATATACCTTAAAAAAAGATAAATTATAGATGTACGGGTGTGATAAAGAGAAAGATAAAAATAAAATAAATAAATATTTAATATATGTGTATAAAATAGAAGTGTATGTATAGATATATAATTTTTTTAAAATACTAAATATATAAAATATATTAAACCTATCAAGAATATATTTTAAAATATATACTAATCTATGATTACAAAATTTGGAAGTCCAAAGCCTTATATTACCACTAAGATCAGCCTCTTAGTATGTGCATGACTGTGAGTATTTTTTTTAAAAGAGGTATTGGGCAAAAGCACTAAAATAGTGATTTTTTTTCTTTCAAACTTGCCTAAATGGATAGTTTTGAAAAATAGTTATAAAAATGAGCAAGTCGTCTTAACATAATATAATTTTATTGAATAAGTTATTTTAGAGTAACACATTTTAGTATTTAACGTAGAATATTTTTAAATTTAAGTCTTAGTAAGGTAACACAATAAATTGTATTTTAAATTGAAGTCACTTTAATGTAATATGATTTTAATTTAATTTTGATAGAAGATATATCATATTAGAACTACTTCAAATTTGAAAATGTTTTGTTCTAAAGTTGTATCAGTTTCACACGACTTTTCACAAAAATCTATTATCTTGATATGATTTGTTCAATTTCACAATTTTTTAAAATTATTTATTTTGATAATTATTGAAAAAATTATACCAAAATGGTGCTTTTGCAGAGATATTAACACATCATTTTTTTTCATAAAAAAGGTAATATCATATTTTCATAAGAAAAGGAAATATGATCTTTTGACAATTTCTTAAATTTTTTTCATTTGTTTGATAAAAACTCAAAATTATTATAATTGTACGGCTCGTCAACAAGTTGTCCGAGAGATTAATTAGTTTATGATATTTAGCTTTGGAGGTCTTGTATACAGTATATATGGTTAATCATTAGTTAACCAAATGTGGTATTTTTATCTTATTAATCTAGTAAGGGAGAAGACATTTTTATTAGAAAAATCGAATGGTCAGAATGGAATGACTTAAAAGAAAAGATCGTTCTAATTAAATTCTTTAACCAGATTAGTGAAATTTGAGTTTGTAATTAGGTCAACAATGATAAAAAAAAGCCTATTATAAAAACTGTAAATATAGATTCAAGATAAAATAATAAACTGTGCATTAATTATACATTTATAATTTTTCCATTCAAACAAAGTGACTCTATAGTATCGAAAAATCTTTTATAAATATCTCTCAATCGATTAACAGAAAATAAGTTGGAATAAAGAGAAAAGGACAATCAACCCTTAAAAAAGATTTCACGGACCCAATTTTTTGAAACAATAATGATATCTTGTAAACTATTTGTATTATAAATTCAATTAAGATAAAGATAAAATTATATGATTAGTTATTTATTATTTTTAATATTTTTGAACAGTGAAACTTTTGGATATATCATAATAAATTTTAAAGATCAGACTTTTGTATTTGTTACGATTTTGTTTTGATAGATTTTTTTAAGAAGAATCATTGAAAAAAAAAATTAAAAATAGATCTGAGTCAAATTTACGTAAAAAGAACATTTAAAAACATAAACTTTTGAAATTTTTTTCTTACATGATTCCGAACATTTTATCTTCTTAAATTTATTCTTGACATAATAATAAAAGATAAAAAATAAACTACATACTTAAAATAATTTGTGGTGAAAGCTCAAGGATAATAAATCATTACAAAAGCATACTAAAAGAGATCAAATAAAAAAATAAACACATTTATTTATTTTTCTTTATTTTCTTATTCACTAATTTGATAATGTGATAAGACGTGAGCAGATATATGGACCTACGTTGAGCATTGTACACAAGAGAAAATTATGCATTCGGAATTTGATTAGAATGAAAAAAGCAAAAACTTTCCAAATCATGGATGCCTATCTTGTAAATACCACTTTTCCCAGAAGCAAAAAAGAATAATTGCACGTCAGAAGCAAGGTAGCAGAAAAAGTAAGGAAGAACTCCCTCTCTCTAATAAAGCATAAGGAATCATCCAATCATCACACACTCCTTTACTCATTCTATTTCTCTTAAATACCTCTCCATACATAATTTATACAACTTTACCTTAATTATTTTATATTTTTATTTCGAACTTAATTAAAACATATATTCCATAATTTCATGTATTATATGTGGCCGAAGTCAATAATAAGATATCTTTTATTAGATATTTAGTACTAGATAATCTGCATCCATTGCTATGCCAATATACCGTCATTCAAAAAGGAATCAAGAAGGCTTGGACGACAAGTATCAATAACGAAGAGTTTGTTAAACGAAAAAAAGGCTATACAGAGTAAGTTCAGTTCTGTTCCACGATAACATGTCACATTTTCTAAGAATTAAAATGTCTATCCAAATTCAATAAAGAAAACATGGTATTTCTGCATTTAGTTGGTAATTCCACAATTTCTGTAGTGTTATGTTATTGAATCTTTTCATTCTTATTCCATTCTCCTCGTCAAAGTCTCTTTTTTTACCTCTTTGTAATTCTACAGTTTTTTTTATATTTATAAATACATGTTTTCACAACAGTCTATCATAATCACATGAACACATTGTTACACACACTTCTCGTGAGACCATTCTCCTTGTGTTTTTTCCATCAATTCAATCATGCTCTCTTTCAATGTTGGTCTTTACCTTCTCATTGCCTCTCTCGTTGTCTTCCACCTGCTTCCCAGTCCAGTGGCCTGTGATGGTAAGTAAATCTCGTTAATCAAGCGAGAGAAATCACTACGTGTTGTGACATTTCTCATGTTACTGATGATTGATTTGTGTGGCTTCCACTGCAGACAAGGAGAAGGATCTGCTTCATGACATCAACACTTACAGAAAAATTTTGAACCTTCCTGTTCTGGATGAGAATAAGAAGGCTTCTTGCTTAGCTGAGGAGATTGCAGAAGATCTAGGAGAAGTGCACTGTGAAGTCTTTCGTGACTACTACCCGACGCCTGGTAATAACTCAAAAATTCCCAACTTTCAAAAGAGCATAGACAAATGCAACATCAACATCAACACCACCACAGAAGGGGTCGTCATGCCTCTCTGCGTCCCCAAGTTGAACTCCGATGACCTGTTTTCCAACTACACCAAATTCAATCGCTTCACCAAGTACCTCAATAATTCCAAGTATAAGTCTGCAGGTCTTGGCTCCGAAGATGATTGGATGGTTTTTATTGTCGCCACCAACGCTACTTCTGGAGATTTCTCCTCTGCATCTTCTTCTCTGCTTCCTCACTTCCTCATGCCAGCATTCTTCTTCGCCACGCTTCTTCTCTTCTTCAAGTAAATCCGTTTATTCGCTCCAATTTTCTTTTCCCCTTTCTTTATTTATTTCTCTAATTTTCCATAATTTGCATGTGAGAACATCACCATTCACGTGCTTGTAACTGTAATTCATCATGTATATTGGTATCTCAAATGTTGTTCTTCGGTTGAAATTTGGGTAAAAATTAGAATGTTTATCAACATATAAAAATGAAAATCTTACTTGGATTTTGAATTCCACGTAATATCAATTTATTTATGTAAAATGAAAATCTATTATTTTATTATTGTTAGATTTTGAATTTGACATAATATCAATTTATTTTATTTATGTACAGAGCCTGAGGACAGAATGATCCAATTGGTGGGTCTTAAACAACAAATGAGATTGATGATTATTTCCTTAAGTTAAAACATGATTATTAACATTTAGATTATAATTAGATTAATATTAATTTAAATAATAAGATAAGATAATTACATTGATTATGTATTTATTATTGAAACTATCGAATTCTTCCCAATATCAAAGTTATCAAAGTAAAAATTATGACCAACTAACATTTGGATGCACATTACTTAAAAGACTTATAATCGTGACTCTACATATCGAAACAATTTATATATGTTGAATTTATCTTTTATTCATGTTGTATTTATTAAATAAAATCTTCTAAAAATCATCAGTTTTCCTATTAATCTAAACATTTTAAAAGAAAAAAAAAAGGTTATTCAAACATGACGAAATAAATTGGTGAAATTTTTAAATGAATTATTAACTTTGTTGTGCAATATAGCATAAAAAAGTAGTGACTGTACGTTGAGGAGTTAATTTTAAGAGGATAAACAATAGTTTTCCAATAAATTAATGTTTATATGCTGAATTAGCGTAGCGCAATAAATCCACATCAGACGATAGGTGTAGTAGTGGCAGTGGCATTACATAATTCACACGTGATACATCACCTCACCATTTTTTTCGCAACACAGACGCGAAAACGTTATTAACATCTTACGAAAGAAACGCAATTGCTAGCGAGTCTGGGAGCTATGGCGGAGGAGGAGGACGACGACGAGAGCTTCGGCGACTTCACCTTCGCGTCGTTTCCGAGTCAACCCTTCCCTTCCACGACGAACGACAATAATAACTTCCTCGTCGACAACGATTGGGGCGACTTCGTTAACCATTCCAGCCGGATCAACAACGACCTATCGAAACCCTTACCCGATCCCACGACGAAACACGTGAATGGCATCAACGACGTCGCAGTTCAAGCCGAGGTGGCGAAAAAGGCCAATAGAGCTATTCCGCTCTCGATCTTCGGCGAGGAGGAGGAGGAAGAGGAGGAACCATCTCCTTCTAATGTTTTCCCCAACGGCGGGGTTGTCAAAGGGGGATCTGGTTCGAATGGGTTCGTTGGAATCAGTGATTTGATTTCCAGTTTGTATAATCAGCAGCTTCCTCAAATGGATTCTATCAACGGATCGGTTTCGGTATCCAATGGTGCTGCTCCCAATCCCGCGAACACCAAGGAAAACAAATTGAATGAGGAGGAGGATGAGGTGGAGGAGGATGAGGATGGGTGGGAATTCAAGTCTGCGGAATGGGAAACTGGAATCAAGAGCCAGGATGTTAAGGTAATAGAACGAATTTATTTAAGGTGTGTGGTTGTTGAACTTAAGCTGAAGAGAATGCTGGAATTCACAAGTATCATTGATCTTTCTTTCCTTACTTTTAGAATTGTCGGCGTATATTGCTTGTACTATTGACACGGGGTTTGGGGAAAGCTATGTACCATATGAGTTATGTGATTGCTTTTTATTTTTGCTAGTAATATGTGATTATTTTTAGTAGATTCCATGTGAGAAGCAAGAGTTAATTCCCCGAAAGAGAACAGAAAAGGGTAGGAAAATAGTGCTAGTGGGTATCGATGAGTTGTTTTGTTGCATGCTTAAATTTTTTGTTTCGTTTTTTCCATTGCCCGCCAATATCTATGATTTAAAGTGCATTAAGGGGCTATTTTCTTGGGCTAGAGATTGATTACGTCACATAAATACATACTGTCTCGTTCATGTAATGAATTTTGTCTCCCTGATAATTTGTATTATATTTTAAAGGCTGAATTGCAAAAGCATGATAATGGTGCTCTTCATGCTGTTACTGTGTCCAATTCGTCCAATGGGATTTCGGACAAAGCTGGTGGGTGGCACTTGGAATTTGAGTTAAGTCCAATATTTGCTTCGCAAAATCATATTAACCCACAACCTGGTCTGAATGGTGAATCAAAAGATGTCGCAACTGGGTTTGCCATGCCCAGCCAAAGTTTTGGGGAATTGAATTTAGGGTCTGGATCAAATCAAAATTTGGTCAGTTGTTTTCACATAATTTCTTCATTTTGTGTTACATTGTTCATTCACATTATTGAGGAATATCCATTAACACCATCTGATTGTGGTTTTGTGGTATTAGAAAGCATTGGAGAAGGCTGACGTTTATCCCACTAGTATGGAATTACTCAAATTTGACAGTACAATTGGTTCATCTCTTGCATCAGTATCTCATCAATCTGATGAATGGAACTTCGGATTTAATTTCAATTCCAGTTCTGTGGGGGAAGACAATCATAGCTCAGAGCCACACTTGAAAAGAATCGAAACCAAAATCAATCAGGCTGATAACAGCATAAACAATGCTTCCCCAACTAATATAAATGTCAATTCAGATGTCAATTTGTTTGAATCAGAGGGTGCTATTACAAAACAAGAGGTACTGAATCAGTATGATGTCATATTTTATATGTCATGTGACATTGTATAGGTTTAACTTCTTGAAGAAGGATTTTCAATCTTGATTCTTGAGTTACTTTGATTTTATGAAAAAATTTCACAAGTTTGTCTTATGACTCATTTCTCTGTTTATACTTAAGTGTTCATACTTTTTAAACATAATACTGTTGTTACTATTCTTTCTATTTGCAGAAGCCCCTAACAGGCACAGAGAATCGTAGGGAAGCCTTGCCTCTGTCAATTTTTGGTGATGAGACACCAGATACTGATGAACAATCTGTGCCTCAAGATCTATCTCACTGTACACCAACATCCCCAGTAAGGAACAATTTCAATAGCCTTGCATCCAACTTATCTATCAATGACATATGGAATTTGTATAATCAAGCTGAAAAACAAACTTCTCCAAAAGCAAATGAAAATCAGATTATTGCCTTACCTGAAGTATCAGGCTCCAGTTTGGTTACTGATAATGATGGTTTAGATGATGATTTCTGGGACTTTAAGGATGCTTCAACTGAATCAAGATTCACCCATGAATCACAGCGAACTTCTTTTAGTTACACATCACAAGTCAATGACAATGGGTTGCATTCTTCCCCAACTGTTTTAAATTCTGATTTGGCCAACGATGAAGATGATTTTGAGGATGATTCATGGGAATTCAAGGATGCCATCTATGGAACACAAAGTCAAGATCACACATCTACTCTAGATCTCACAGATTTACCGGTGGCCCAGTTATCCACGAAATTAGAGCTGAGTGACTATGCAGAGTTTTATAGCAAATTGAAGGATGAATTGTGCAATTATGTTCTGTCTCATCTTCAGAAACTCAAGGTAACTAACCTTCTGTGGTCTTTTTTTGTAGATAATGCTCAAATTTTCTGGCACTGAAATTACTTATAAATTAATGTTCTTAGAAAACTCTAAATGATGCTGCCCTTTCGGGTGAAGATGCCAAAGCAAAAGCTCTTGAGGAACAAATTCAGGTCAGTATATGAACTATTCTGTTATCTATTTCCTATCTAATGTTTTGTGGTTTTTGCTTATTTTTCCCTTGCTATAGTAAATGTAAAACTCTGGGAAAGGGATAGGTGAGTGGGTTTCTCTACATGGGGGAAATGAGAGAATCCGGAGGTAGGTCTGGAAGGATTTGGCAAAAATCTAGCAGAAACCCAGACCTAATGGTTTGCCTGTGACTTATGTACATTGGGTCGAAGTCTGCCCCCACCAAACACCCCCCTCCTACCCCCCACCCCCACTCCAAATCAAACATTATCGAGTTGAGCTATTAGCATTATGTTGTTGTGAATTTGGGTTTCTTCTGCTTTTGTATTTGTGTGTGGATATTTTTTCCTTGTTATTAATCAAATGTACAAGCTATTAATAGTTCCGGAACTGTTTCTACTATTTTTTCGTCTTTTATAGGAATTCTTGGAGATACTGCATCAGGACAAAATGAATGTCCCTACTGAATATCTCTCTGAGGATTATTGCCCAACAAATGTCTGCTTTAATGAACTTCTTGAAGTTTTGAAGGAACCTAGGTTCCAACCTTTTGAGTCCGAATACCAGCTAGCATCAAGGTTGTTGATGGTATGTCTATTTCTTGAAAATATTCTGTTGTATTTTTAAAGTTTAATGTGTTGCACGTGCAAATAGTACTGTAACTATGAATGGTTTTGATAGTTTCAAACAGAATATATGATTAAATATCGGATTTAGCCATTTCCGTCAATAGTGATGTACTGATATTTTTTCTCAATTTTCCTTGAGATTAATTTTATAGATTATAGTTTATATTTTCTTATTTTATTTATTGATAACATTCTTTCTTACCAGACCATTAAGTTTAACAACACTTGTATATTTGTATTTTAATAGGCTGAGAAGGATATTAAATCTGCAATTGAACTTTTGAAAGATACAGTATCCACGTTAAGGATTCTCAAGTTGGGATCAAGAGAAGATCAGTGTAATTATCTTACCATATGGTCCAAAATAGCCTTTGTTTGTTCTCAAGAGCTGAAGCATGGTGCTGATGTTTGGAAGCAAGTTGTACTAAAGAATGTCCATGACCAGATATTATCTGACCGAAAAGGTAAGCTACATAATTATGTCATGCCTAATACATATGCTGCTGATGTAGATGAACTTAAGGAATCTGCAATAACCTTTGTTTTCTGGGGTGGTGGGTTCACATAGGTGTTCAGTATATCATTGCACTCGGGGAAATTTATAGAGTTGCAGAAATCATTGGTGCTTCAATCAAACTTCACAAACCTTGGATGTTATCAGATTACACAGATCATAAAAGTTTATGTTTCCTTTTGGACGAGTGTTATAGCATATGGTTGGCTTCCGGACTTCAAGAAGCACTTTTGAGTATATCAAGTCAGAATAATTTTGAGCCAGATGAAATTTCAAGGGAATTAGTTGAGTCCATCAAGTATATTCACGAGCTTGATGAACATGCACTTCGTAGCTATGTTATCTCTGGAGAACAAACTACTTGTCAGTTGTCAGCCTTGCCAGGGGGTTGCATACCAGGTATGTGCGCTATAATTTTGACTTTCTTTGAATGTAAGTGATAAAAATTGATTTAAAATGAATTTGGATCCTGTGCTGTTCATGCTTAATAGGAAAAGTCCTGTTAATAAATTTTAATCACTTATTGAATATATTTGGTTAAAATAAAAGCTAACCAGCTAATTATCCCACTAAAGTAAGCACTCATCCCATTCTTTTATAGTTTTAGTTGGCTTTTATTTCAACTGAATTTGAAATAAATGTAATAAATGGTTAGGATTTTATTTAACAAGACCTCTCCTGTTAACGATAAACATGGGAGAATCCAAATCCATTTAAAATTATTTTTTGATAGAATATTTTCCTTATTGCTTGTTACTGTGCATAAAGGTGTCCAAATGTCCATTATTAATGAATAGGAAAAATATAATATCTTAAGTGTGAAAGTTTCCTAGCTCCTTTCGCAGTTGTCGCATGGAGCTCCTTCAGTGAAATCTTTTCATGTTAGCTAAAGAGATATGATAGCAATTGAGCAGTGAACTTGTTCTCCAATGGTTTCATGTTACCGAAAAAAATATTCCACATAGCCAAAAAGAAATGAAAATAAGGTGCACGTACTGCAGGATCAATGTTGGAAAGAGTCTTTTCTGCATTATATTACACCAATTTACATTTGCATTTAGTATCTGTTTGGATCAATAGCTACAATGTGTGGAAATTTCAACTACCTACCACTTTGGCTCTGTAATTCATTTACCAAATGACTGTTGTGGATCAGGGTTGAATTTGGTGACATGGAACGGGAAGCATTGCATCGTGAAGCTTGCGAACTTGTGGATCAACCTAATAAGTTCGGATTCACCCAAGATGTGACACCTGCCAATTCAACTGTCCCTCCTTCACAACGAGTGACTATTTCACTTTTTCAGTGGTTGTTTCGCGTTTCACAATGAGTTAGATTGTGGCGGGACCCATTGTTTTGTTAGTGGGGGTGAGACCTTTGGCGCACGAACAACAGCTGTAGTGAAGGGAGAGTCTGTATGGGATGAAAATCATTCTATTGAGTCGAACCAGGCAAAGTTACCAATTAAGTTCATTCTTTCTTCAATAGGTTACCATTCTTTCAGGAAAGCTTTATAACAATAGCCGGATTTGTTACAGGTGTAAGATGTATTACTAGTGATAACGAAGAATTATATACTACGACATAGAGTATAATTTTGGATACAATCCAGCCATGCAGAAGAAACTGTATTGCTTAGTTATCGTATGATTCTGGTGTTGTAAAGTAACTGGGATTCTTCCCTTCTCAATTTTATACAATGGTATTTGGCATGATTTAAATTCCCAATAGTTTGGTTTAAATTTGAAAACCAAGTGTGATATTTGTCTCTTGTGCACACCAGCACTTGCCGAATCAGCTCAAGACAACTCAATCGGAAAGACAACTCAATTGGAAAGACAACCGCAGCAACAGTACGTTATATACTTACAAGTGAAATGTATTTTTTTTCTTATGTTTTTTTCTTTCTGATATCACCTAAAAAATACTAAAATATATTATTAAACAAACACGATAACATATTCATGTTTTAACATATGAATGCACAACAGACACACTGAGCTCACTCATCGCATTTCTTAGGATACAAAATCATTGCTTTAATACAAAAATTTAATACTCCGATTATGGTGATACTAAAATAATATTATATCTTATTTATAGAAAAAATATAAGAAATTTAAGCTATGATACAACTAGCTAAATTAAAGTTATTCATGTATAACTGTTTATTTAAAAAAATGTAGAGACAACTTTAATATTTTAAAACTTAATTAAGATAATAAATCCGTAGTTAGTGCTCAAGATTTTTTGAAAGTTGATTTTTGTGTGCAGGACTTCTGTGCAATAAGTAAGAAATCTTGTGTATATCTTTTGTAAATGAACTCGTACATGCTCAGCATGACTTACCGACAAAAACATTTTAAAAATTTATCAATTCAAGTAAAATTAGTGCAAATTGTACCATTTTCTTAAAAAAAAAAAAATATTTTTGAATAAAATTTTGAATACATACTTTTATACCTCGCCTAGTCTAAATGAGTTTTAATTGCTAATTACACAAGCTCCTATAACTTATGCCATCAGACTCATCTCAACTGAAAATGTGATTTATTTATGTATTTTACTTCTAATGAATTTATTTCTTTATTTTATTTCTATTAACAGCATATTGTTTAATGAATTATATTTGTACTTAAAAAAATATACCAACGTACTTTTGGAGGTGCAAATCCATATCATTTTCTTTACTTGAAACTATGTCCTGTAATAAAAATTAGTTAGAATAGTTGATTATAACTAAGGTAATCTTTAGAATATTATTTTATCAATATTAAAATGAACGGTGTTTAAATAAGAACACGTAATTAATAGTATTGTGAATAAAATTAATTATATTTTGTATGGTTTGATTTTCTATAGTAATAACAACTGTTAGTATAATAGAAAAGAGTAATAAGTATTTTTTATAAGAAATCTTTTCTTTTTCCCATATTTTTTTGAACTAAATCATCTCTATTTTTAAACTTTTTTTTTTTAATTTCTTCTCTCACTTTCTTTACTTATATTTCTCTCCCATATGTATCCAATAAATCTTTTTAATAAATAAAATTCATAACTACTTTAATGGTCAATAATAACGTTTACAATTTAAAAAAAAAAAAGAGATGAATGAAGAAATTACTTTTATTACCAACCATATATATCCATTGGAATCTTCGAATTACGAAAAAGAAACTGGAGTCGCAATTATTTTTTTATTAACAATTGGAAATAAAAAATGATTTACATTTTGCAGTTAAAAGAAGGTAGCGAAGAAAATTAGAAGAGAAAAACCCTCTTGTTAAAGTCGTGAAACCCTTCTTCTCATTTCTTACATTCAGTGGTGGCGGCGTGAGAAGAAGCATGTTGGACATCAACCTATTCAGGGAGGAAAAGGGTCATAACCCTGAGCTCGTCCGTGAATCGCAACGCCGTCGTTTCGCTCCCGTCGAAGTCGTTGACGAGGTCATCGATCTCGACAAAGAATGGCGAAAGCGTACTCTCTCTCTCTTACTCTCTCTCTCTTCACAATAACAATGTAGCCAGTGGAATCTCGCACCAATGCTATATCTTATGTGTGATTTTTCAGGTCAATTCGAGTTAGAGACTCTCCGCAAGGATTTCAACAAGATCAATAAGGAAGTCTCCAAACTCAAGCGTGTAAGTGTCTTCATTTGGCTTTTCTATATTTTTTTTAATTAAGATGCTAATTTGAATGGTTTCATTTTAATTATGTTCTGCATGTTAGGCTGGTGAGGATGCTTCTAAGTTCATTAGTGAATCGGAGGAGACCAAGAAATTGATAGCGGAGAAAGAGGTTGAAGTCCGGGAAACTCTAAATCTCTTGAATTCCAAGTTGGAAACTATTGGAAATCTCGTACACGATTCGGTTCCAGTCAGCAACGATGAGGTTTTCTTATTTTTATTTTTCTTTTGTAATAATTGTTAGTACTATTTTACTTGTGTTTGTTTTTAATGCTCGTAATAAATCCCGGAGTTTTCTATGCGTTAGGCCAACAATGCTGTGGTTAGATCGTGGGGGGAGAAAAGAGTGGAGCCTAAACTAAAGAATCATGTGGATCTAGTTGAGCTTCTCGGTATAGCAGATACAAAGAAAGGTGTGAATTTATTTATATGGTGTTTAAGTGATGAATTTCTGTTTTACTCATTTCTATGGGGTGACAAGCATTTTGGTTTTACTTTTCGATGTAATTTTTTCCTCGAACTCTTTTCTCTCTTAGTAGTATACTTTATGAACTATAGCCGTGTGTATGATTGGTCTTGCTGACACCATCTTGATTGCGAAACTTATGAGTATTATTGGTCTGTAATACCGTTTTGCATGTGGCACAAAAATCTAATACTGCAGACTACGAACACGAACACTGTTAGATTTCAACAGTAGTAGCCAATGCTTTCCCTAATTTGTGCGTTTCTGCTCCTATTGTTCACATATGCATTCTAATCTCTTATCTCAATTTGCTTGCTACATAACAGGAGCTGATATAGCTGGAGGTAGAGGTTTCTATCTCAAAGGAGATGGTGTTCGTCTTAATCAAGCTCTTATCAACTTTGGGCTTGATTTTTTGGAAAAAAGGGAGTATACTTTATTGCACACTCCTTTCTTCATGAGAAAAGATATAATGTCAAAGTGTGCTCAGTTAGCCCAATTTGATGAAGAACTATATAAGGTAAAACTTAGTAAATTTCATTATCTGCCTATATCCAAATGCAATGTGATTTTTAAGACCTTGATAAATAGTTTTGTATATAATTTATCTTTATATTTATATGCCTATTTGCTTTGTTGAATAATATCCATAATCTTTTAGTGCCAAACTGTCAATAGCTTTTTTTGTACTGTATTGCTTAAAGTTTTAATGCTTACATAATGTTTGGTTTGGTCTGTTTTCTCCTTTCTGTTTCAGTTGAAATGTTTTGATTTATAATCACAAAATGCACCTTGTATTCATTCAATTTTCATTTTAAAAAAAGCCGAAGAAAAATGGAGAAAACAAGATCATTTTCTCCTTAAAACATTGACATCAGGTAGCACAGTAAAAGAAATGCAGTGTTTTTGTTGTTATGAAGGTAAATAATAATAGATATGAAACAAATACCACTTTAGCTGTTTTTTGAGTTCATCTAAAAGGTTATTGTGTTAGGTAACTGGTGAAGGAGATGACAAATATCTGATTGCTACAGCAGAACAGCCGCTCTGTGCGTATCACTTAGATGATTGGATCCACCCATCCCAGCTACCAATAAGGTAATATCATTTTCTTTCCCACATGTTAACATTGAAACCTAGAAGACTATGTTACCTTTAACTCCGAAAATATGCTTTCTGCAGATATGCTGGGTATTCATCATGCTTTCGCAAAGAAGCGGGATCTCATGGTCGAGACACTTTAGGAATATTCCGAGTTCACCAATTTGAGAAAGTGGAGCAATTTTGCCTCACTAGCCCAAATGACAACGATTCGTGGAACATGCATGAGGAAATGCTTAAGAACTCCGAGGATTTCTACAAAGCGGTATGATACAGCCACAGTTCTCATCATTAAGCAAATAATGTTTAAGGCAACTACGTGAATGAGTTCAAATTTCAAATAAACATGTAATATACAATTTGGAAACAGTGATCCCAGGGTACCATTAATAAAATGGGAAAGTATGTTGTTTGACATGCCAAATATATCTAACCATGGGAAAGTTTAGTGCGTCCCCTTATTTTTTTTCTAAATTTTTTATAACTACAACTTCATTGTACTTGGATGATTGTTTGCCCTCTGTATTGGCCAAGTGATTACTTAATTTTACCGTGTTCTACTTTTTATGGATATCATTGCATGTAGATTGATGTATTGGTTGGTCGTCTGACTATATTGACTTCTTACTACTTTCCACAATTTTTTTTGTTTCTCATGCTATTAAATTTTATTTACTGCAGTTAAACCTTCCGTATCAAGTTGTTTCCATTGTATCTGGTGCTTTGAATGATGCTGCAGCAAAGAAGTATGATCTAGAAGCATGGTTTCCAGCCTCTCAAGCTTACTGAGAGCTAGTGTCCCGTTCAAACTGTACAGAGTATCAGGCTAGAAGATTAGAAATTCGATATGGTCAGAAAAAGGTTAGTCATGTTAATGACTGACTTCAGTAAGCATTATTTATTAACTTCACTAAAATTTTCATTTCCATTTATAAAATGGGACCTTCATGTAAAAACCTCTCAATCTGCTTTTATTGATAGATAGGATGATCATTTGGTATTAGCATGTCGGCTGACCAGGCTTAAGGTGTGGAGTGTATGTAAGGAGAAACAAAAGGGGGAAGGAGAGTGTTGATGTGGCGGAGTGTTGGAATAACAAAATTTGATTGAGGGGGTTTCTGTTATATTAGTTGAGTATAAGAAGCAAGGGTATCCTTTGAGGGTAATCAAACTAGTTATGGACAGAGAGCATTAGCCCTCTGTGGGAGCTCAGCTCTGGCTGTAGGAATGTTCATTCCCCTGTAGCCCTTTTTTGTTATTAGTCTGAAATAAATCATTAGTGACCTACTCCTTTCACCGATTGTTCATTACCTTTTCTTCCTATTTTTCTATAGTTGGTTGTGGTTCTTTAATATCTACGAAACCCATTCTGTCTGGAAATCTCTAATTTCTTACTTTTCGTGCTAGTATAGCCTTTCGGTGAAATTTATTGGGCAGACAAGCAAAGATGTATATTTTTATGAGGCTTC